GTGTGACTGTTGCATCCGGTTATTCTAAATGTGGCCCGGGAATGGCGTTCTGGGATGTCGAAGAGCACGAAGTGTGTGACTGTTGCATCCGGGTATTCAGAATGTGGCCTGGGAATGGAGTTCTGGAAGTCGAAGAGCACGAAGTGTGTGACTGTTGGTGAAAAACGAGCCCGGCACCCTGCCGCCCGGCAACTCCCCAACACCTGCCCGGACCCCCCTGTGGAGTGATCTGTGAGCTCTTTTGAGTCAACTAGAAACCTATCAGTCTTCGCTGTTAGGTAAATATCCCGGCAAAGCAACCTAACAGCGATGTGTATGAGCATATTTGGAAGCATTCCCCTTTAGATTCATGTAGGATTCCTGTTGTAGAATTCTGGTGTACTCGGAGTCGCAATCGCATTCGCAATGGCAGTCGCAGTGGCAAGTGCTCAAACGGCATACCAAAGTACCGCATGCTTTGCAAGCCGATGAAAGAGAGAACAAGACAGCAAGCGGGTAGCAGGGGATAAGACGGGGACATCGGGCAAGCAAAATGTGGTACAGGAATTGTGTTCTGAGAACACGAAGAACACGAAGTGGCCTACAGTTGGCTCTGGGCATTCAATATGTGGCCCAGGAATTGCGTTCTGGGAACACGAAGAACACGAAGTGGCCTACAGTTGGCTCCGGGCATTCAAAATGTGGCCCGGGAATGTTGTTCTGGGAACACGAAGAACACGAAGTGGCCTACAGTTGGCCCCGGGCATTCAAAAAGTGGCCTGGGAATGGTGCTCTGGGAACACGGAGAACACGAAGTGGCCTACAGTTGGCTCCGGGCATTCAAAATCATGCCCAGGAATGGAGTTCTGGGAACTCGAAGACCACGAACTGCGTTACTGTTTGCTTAAAACGAGTTCCCCAGCATCCCCCCGGCATCCTCCCCCAGATCGTGCCCAGACCCCCTTGGGGCGTGATGATGCTCTCTTTTTGACCCTACTAGAAACCTATCAGTCTTCGCTGTTAGGTAAATAGTCAAAAAAATAGTCTGGGGACTAATGTTTGAGTATTAGTTGGCATCTTGGGGCATTTTTTTACTGTTTTATTTTTCGTCCACAATCCCACCTGTAGGGGGGCACGCCCGACCCAAGACTGGTAAGGGCATCAAGCCGCGCAGACGAGGGCCACGACAGACGCGAGGGCCGGGGCGGGGAGCTCCGCCCCGAGCCTCGATGCGTGACCCTCCGGGGCCCAGCTCCTTCACGCTAGACTTATGATGTTCCGACCTACTGTACCCATCGGTCGTTGAAAGTAGGTATTTCTGGATTCCCAGATTACAATCTACTTTCAGCGCCTTCCTACTTCAAGAGTCGAGTGGTTTTCCTTCTTCCTTCCTCTTCAGGAGGCGTGCGGAAACCCAATCTATTTCCAACGCCTTCCTATATCATGTTTCTACCTACTTCTTCCGACCGATGGGTAGCCTCGATCACCAGAAAGAACTTCGAGCACCAAACAAAAGACCGAAACTCGAGGGTGTTCACGTGTCGGGCCCTGGAGGGCTGTTTCGACACCCGTTCGACACTCTTTCGACACTTTTCCGGGTGCTCGAAATTGTTTCTGGGATGTGGTCCTTAAGTACGATGGTGGCAATGTAACGCTAGATTTAAGTCGGGCACATCCCTCTACAGGAGGAATAAAATGTGACCCGAGACTAACCTAGTGAAAACTCAGAGAAATCAGTGTGTGTGTGTGACGGTTGTGTCAGGGAATTGAAAGTTGAGATGTGACAGGTCGACAAGGACACTGTGTATGAGTGTTGCATGATAGTGAGAGAACGAGTGTTGCCCAGGAGTGTCGCCCAGATATGAAGTTCTGAGAGGTCACAGAGCACAAAGTGTGTGACTGTCGCGTGGGATTACTCTGAATGTATCCCGGGATTGCCGTTCCAGACAGCCAGATAGCCCGGCGTGTATACCTGTTGTGTGCGATTTTTCCAAATGTAGCCTGGGAATGGCGTTCTGGGAGGTCTCGGAGCACGAAGTGTGTGACTCTTGCATCCTGTTATTCCGAATGTGGCCTGGGAATGGGGTTCTGGGATGCCAAAGAGCTCGAAATGTGTGACTGTTGCATCCCGTTAATCAGAATGTGGCCCGGGAATGGAGTTCTGGGGTGTCAAGTACGAGGAATTGTATGACTGTTGCGTCCGGCTATTCCGAATGTGGCCCGGGAATGGCGTTCTGGGAGGTCAGTCAAGGAGCACCAAGTGTGTGACTGTTGCATCCGGTTATTCAGAATGTGGCCTGGGAATGGGGTTCTGAGAGGTCGACGAGCACGAAGTGTGTGACTGTTGGTGAAAAACGAGCCCGGCACAGGCCCGGCACCCTGCCGGCCGGCAACTCCCAACGCCTGCCCGGACCCCCCTGTGGAGTGATCTGTGAGCTCTTTTGAGTCAACTAGAAACCTATCAGTCTACGCTGTTAGGTAAAAACATTCACACAGTTTTTCCTTGCATCGAGGACGCCAAACACTGTGTATGCTTGTTGTTTTGTTACTACAAAGAGGAGGAAACGGAAGGGAGAATGAGGAGAAGGAGGATGGGCGAGGAGGAGGAGGAGGAGGAATTGTGTTTGGAGAAGGGGGAGGACGGAAGAAGAGAAGGGAAGGATGAATCAGAAGATGATGAACGTGAATACGATTCAAGATAAGATATGTGATCTTTGGGGGGCAACCATCTCTGTGTATATACACACATACGGGCGCACACACATATATATATATACATATATATATACATATATATACATATACATATAAATATAAATAGATGCACACATATACACCACAACCAGTATACCTATGTGTGTCCACATGCATCTGATCAACAGACGTAGCACGACTTATCCTTCACTAGATGATACAACCACGGGACAGCCACGCGGCAACCACGCGACAACCACGGGACAACCACGGGGCAAGCACGAGAAAGCCACGGGACAGCCAAACGTTGGCAACAGCGAGACAGCAGCGGGACAACCACGTGACAGCAGCAGCGGGACAGCCGCGGGACAGCCGCGGGTCACTTGAGGGACAGCCGCGGGGCAACCACGGAGCGAACACGGGACACCGACGAGAGGTAGGAGAAGGAGAGAGGAGGAGAGGGATTGTTCATTCAGCAGTCTCAATCCATGTCTATATAAATACATATCTATGTGCATAAACACATAGATATGTGCGTGTAGACGGGACAACCACCAGATTCTCACAGGAAAACCAGCGACGACCACGGCACAACCCAAGGACAACCAGGGGACAACCACAGGACGACACCGGAACAACCGCGGGACAACCACGGGTCAACCACGAGATCTGATCGATCAATTGATCTTGGGGCCGTTCGGGAAAGTTTGTGACCCCTAGGTCGCGAGATCGATCGAGATATTGATATTGATGGCGAAGTCGGTCATAGTCAGATATGTGCCTCTTGTTTGTCCCGTGGTACCTGTTGTTTCTACAGGTAGGGCAACCGCAGAACAACCATTGGATAAACTCGGGACAACCACGGGACAACCACGGCACAAGCACAGGTTAATCACAGGAGAGCCACGGGACAGTTACATGATAACCATCGGTACGACCACGGAACAGCAGCGGCAATACCATGGGAAGATCACAGGACAGCCACGGGACAGCCACAGGATAACCGCGGGACAACCCCCAGGCACGCCTTGGGCGCAGAGGGGGCGGGAACCACAAGTGCTTTCGCAGGGGTTTACTCGAGCCAGGAACCTGCGCAGCTTCGCCCCGCCCGCACGCGAGGGCCGCACACTGGACCAGACGGCCTCGGAGCAACCCCCAGCTGGCGCCAAGATCGTTCGAGGGGATCCCGGAGGTGGCCCCATAAGGGGCCCAAGACGGCCCAAGAGAGCTCCCAGGAGATCCCCGGGAGGCCCCCCAAGGCGAGTCCTTCACCATCGTTCAGAGCCCCGAGTCATCAGGGGCAGCCCGGGTCAGGGCCAACTCGGGTTCGTCTTTCGGGAATCTTCGTTTATCGGGAATCCAGACCCGAGTTACCCCTGGCCCGAGTTACCCTGAATAATCCGGGCGTCCAGAGCCCCGAACCATCAGGGGTAATTCGGGTCAGGGCTAATTTGGGTTCGTTTTTCGGGAATCCAAACCCGAGTTACCCCAGGCCCGAAGTACCCCGAATAGTCCGGGCGCCCAAATTGTGGAATGGGGCCGTGCTCTTCACCAAGAGCCCCCAGCTGGCGCGCCGCCAAAAAGGGCACCCCAAGATCGCCCCAGACGCCCCAAGAGATCCCCACGAGGCCCCCCAAGGCGACTCCTTCACCATGATTGGCAGGAGGAGGATCTTTTCCTCTGCGAGCCAGAGGGCAGGAGCGAGGGCGGCGACAGTTAGCCGACATGCGCACACAGATGTGCGACAAACAAGACTTTGCTTGGCTGACCTACTTGTTAGGTGAAGCACAGCCTTCTCAATCACTGACCGCTGGGCACTGTCGCCCATGGGAGAAAAGCCCCACACGAGCGTGTGGGCGCAAACGGCCGCCACGCCGCGCATCAACGCCCAGCCGCTTCGCGCCCCCTGCCAGCTGCCACCAGCAACCCACGCCCACAGTTGGGCCGCGCGCGCCCAGCCAACGGTTAGGCACCAGGACAACGCCGCGAGAGCCGCTGGGGAAGCAAGCAGGATTCACTCCGCATTTAGGAATCGAAAGCACATGCATGGAGGCCAAAACGAGCTCACAGTTGAGCTATGAGCGGTATGCCTCGTGCTGCCCTAGCAGGCAACGCGAGAGAACACAAGAGCCAGCAGCGGCTGCAGCCACACGCGCCTGCGCGCGAGGAGCGCGCCTGCGCGCGCGGAGAGCGCACGCCAGGGGGGGAAAATAGACTCTATCTGTCCCGAACAGCAACGCTTAGCTTGAGACAGAAAAGCCAGCAGAGGCGGCAACAGTAGCCACAGATGAGGCACAACGAATGCCTTAGCCAGCGCTGGCATCCTTCGATGCCGCTTCACGGGCCTGCACTCTCGCAAGCAAAGCCGCCATCCTCTCGTTCTGAGGGAGGGCAGAGAGGCCTGAGCGTTGCTGCGACGACGCGGGCCTGGACGCATCAACAGGCGGAAGCGTCTGCGCAGCATAGCATAGAAAATGCACACCCCGCCTAGACGAGCGGGACGTCCTCTCATCCTCGTTCCTACAATAAGGATGGAGGCCTGACAGTGCAATGACAGAATGCCCACGGCGCCTACCTACGGCACGGGCGCCTCCAGGCATCCGACAAAAACGACGGTCAACTCCAGGCACACGAAGATCACGACGGTCACCTCCAGGCACTCGGAGCTGACGAACTCCCGGCTCGCGAAAAGGACGACGGCCACCTCCCGGAGCACGAAGAACACGATGGCCACTCAAGCGCCCTCGAACACCTCCAGGCCCTTGATCGCCACCAGGCCATCGCCCACGCCTAAGCCCTCTACCACGTCCAGGCCCTGGATCACGAAGGGCACCTCCACACACCCGACGACGGCTGTCACCTCCAACCTCACCAGGGAGCTGGGGAGGCCCAGGCTGCGGTCCACCATGTGCACGATCATTCCCAGGCACACGACAAAGACGACGGTCATCTCTGAGCACGCGTCAACTCCAGACACACGAAGATTACGATGGTCACCTCCAGGCCCTGGAACACCGACGGACGCATCGAGGCCCTTGACCACCGCCAGGCCCTGCATCTCCTCCAGGCCCTCTATGGCCTCCAGGCCTAGGGTCACGTCCATCACCTTCTCGCACTCGACCATGACGATGGGTACCTCTACGCACTCGCAGATGCCGACGGGTACCTCCAGGACCACGAGGGTCGGGACGGTCACCTCCATGCACTCGCAAAACAGGTCGGTCACCTTCAGGCACTCGCAGATCACGCCGTTCACCTCCAGGTGGTCGATGATGACGGCGCTCACCTCCAGGTCCTGGAGCATTTCGAAGCCTTTGATCACCACCAGGGCCTCAATCACATCCAGGTCTACGATCGCGTGCGAGTCCTGCGCGGCAAACGCCTCGGAGCGCCAGCTGGCGACATCGGCATCGACCTGCACCACGAAAAGGGCGCCGTCGGACTTCAGCTTCGCGCCTCAGCGACGGCCTCAGGAGAGCCCCGCCGCGGCCCAGGAGACCTCCAAGCCGGGTATCGGCCCTGCGGCGCCCCAGGGAGGGGCCAGAAGGCGGCCCCGAGACGTCCCAGAGACCTTCGACGCTCGTTTCGGGGACCTTCCTGGAGCCCACCTAACGGATCTGTTCGACCCCAGTTCGACTCAAGTTCGACTCAAGTTCGACTCAAGTTCGACTCAGGTTCGACTCAGGTTCGACTCAGGGTCGACCCAACTCGACTGATGTTCGACGCAGCTTCGACGCACGAGTGGAGCGAGTGGCTCCAGGAAGGGTCCCCAGAACGAGCATCCAAGAGACCTGTTATCGAGGGCGGCCAAGAGGGGGGTGATGACTAGGGGGGGGGATACGGCAGAGGGAGACAATTACTGAACACTCCCCCTCCCCCCCAAACTCAACGCTGGCGCGCGCGGGGGAGACTGCGGTCGAAGTGCATCTCGTCAGACCCACCGCCAACTTTGCACATGGGGGGGAGGGGGAGGCGTTGACGGATGAATGCGGCATGAGTGGTCGCTAATTTGCTCCGAGGCTTGTATCATGGTGGGGGCCATGATATCTCCCCAGATTTCATGGCGCCCCCTCTTCTTTCATCACGTCCATGGCACCCCCCCCTTGGGCCGCGCACGTGCCGCCGGCCATGATTTGTACCCCTATCTTGGACGCCCCCCTCTTGGCCGCCCCTGATAAGAGACCCCCAAGAGGCTTCCAAGACGCCGAAAGACATAGGCATCACTGCGGGAACCATGTTTAGTCCGAGCGTGGTTCGGGCGTGTGCGCTGGTCAAGACCCAACATACGTGGCGCTGCCACTCCGGCTGGCCAGCCTCGATCGCCGCTTCCCATCTCCCCCCTCCCCGTGTCCTTGCCATCGTGAAGACCATGGGCAGTCAGTCTATACCCTACGACTCATGCAAAGTTGACCTATAGTGGGGACCATGTCTAATCCGAGCATGGTTCGGGCGTGTGCATTGGTCAAGGCCCCACATGTGGCGTTGCCATTCCAGCTGGCCAGCCTCGCCCGCCGCATCTCATCTCCTGCTCTCTCTGTACCGCTGCCGTCGCGAAGACCGTGAGCAGCCCTTCCACACCCCACAAGCGCAGTGGATCTATCATGGGGGCCTTGGGTAGTTCTAATGCGGTTCGGGCATGTGCATTGGCGGTCAAGGCCCCACACAAGTGACGCTGCCATATTTTGTTCAAGGCGTCCCGCCGGTGAGGTGTAATTACCAAGTAGGTTTGAATATGCTCGGCCTGTTCATGTTCCAGTGGCCTCGACGCAGTCGGCTCAGTGGGAAGTTGTTCCACTCAGAATTTGTGTAGTACCTGCACAAGGTGTTTCAGCTAGATGGCACACGCTGAACCAACCGACCGAGTCTCCAGGACGCACCTGAAACGGCTCCCAAGTGGGCCCCAGAAGACCCCCAGGATGCAGAATGTGTTGGTGTCTTTTAAAGTGGTCATATGATTTGAGCACGCTCCTCTCGGATTGTGTTTGGCCTCATTTGCGTTTTTTCCTGGGGCTCTTCTCGGGGCTGGATTGCGCGCTTTCCTGGGGCCGTCTCACGCGTTTGAATGGAAAAGGACCCCCCAGAGTCCCATCGGCTAAATCAAATTGGTGACGCCTCTACGTCCGGTGTAGCGACCCGTCCCCCTCATCCCTGTCCTCCTCCTCCTTCTCCTCCCCATCCTCCTCCTCCCCATCCTCCTCATCCTCCTCTTCCATCTCCTCTCCGCCCTCTCCTCCCTATCCTCCGCCCCGGGCTTCAAGAGAGCCCCGGGAGGGTGTCAAGAAGGCCCAAGAGACCCGCACACGGCATCGGGCGGCCCCCAGAAGGGCCCCCGGAGGACGCCCAGATCGCCCGAGCGGGCCTGAGTTGGCCCTTAAGGGGCACAAGACGACCCCAAGACATCCCCAAATAGGGCACGCCCCCCCCCCATGAAGAAGAAGAAGAAGAAGAGGAACAACAAACAGAAGGAGAAGAAGAAGAATATTCGGCCTTCTGCGTGTGGTCTCGTCGTCTGACCTGCTGAGGGCCGGGCGATCAGGCTCGGCTGCAAGTTGCACCTCGCACGACCGCAATCCCCAGCTCCCGCCAAACAAAGCTTAGAGCTCGCTCTGCGCAGGTGCCTCTCCACCCGCCTCGCCCACAGCCCCGCCCCGCGCCCTCGGAAGCCCCCCCCCCAAAGGAGGAGGAGGAGGAGAGGACGAGTTCCCCCTCCTCCTCCTCCTCTCCTCCTCCTCCCTCCTCCTCCTCCTCCTCCACCTCCTGCTCCTTCTCCTCCCTCGTCTCCTCCTCCTCCTCCTCCTCCTCCTCCTCCTCCTCCACCTGCCTCCTTCTCCTCCCTCTCCTCCTCCTCCCCCACCCCCCCAAAGGAGGAAGAGGACGAGTTCGATGTCTTCGGCCGCCGCAAGAGAGGGAGGGCCACGGCGTCCGGCGGCGGCAGAGAGGCGGGAGCCGCTCCCCCGACCCGCGGCCCCTCCGCGTTGTGACGGCCCACCCGCACAGCAGGGATGGGCAGCCGTCCCCCCAAGGGCACCCTTTGCACCCTCCTCCTCCTCCTCCTCCTCCTCCTCCTCCGTAGCCATTTTGGCTCAAGATGCATAGTTCCTCAGTGGAACAAGTGGATACCGCTAGTCCGCGGCAGACAAGACCCTTGGCGGTCTGGCAGAGATTGTTCCTCGTACTGACGCCCGCCCCCACGGGTAAACGGAGGCTTTTCCCGTTCCTGTGCGTACGAACGTCCCAGTCGCAATGGGGCTTCCCGATGCTGCGGCGCTGGCCCAGTGCGCCCAGGAGATCGAAGACATGCCCACCTTCCCTGACGATGATCGTGCTGATGGCCGCCGTGTCCGGGGCTCGCCTGAGCCCAAGTATCCGCGCACCGAGGAGGGCAAGGGATCCTCAGGCAGTGGCAAGGGTGTCGCCAGCCTGGCCTCCCGCGCTGCCGCTGCTGGTGCCGCGCTCGTCTTCGGGCGCTCGGATCAGCTGGCTCATTCTCCTGATCAGCCTGCTGTCGGTGCTCCTGTGCATGCTGGTGGTTCCCCTGCAAGTTCTGACCACGCTCGTGCACCCGCTGGGCATGCTGCTCACGACTACCCCGACGAGTATATCAAAGCTGTCATCGCCGATGGTGTTGCCTCCCAGTTCAGCGAGCTACGCACGGAGCTCGAAGGTCTCGTCGCCTCGACTGTGGGCGACACTGTTAAATCCAGCAACGCCTCCATCTTGCGGACCCTGGCTGTACTGCAGAAGCAGTTGGAAGATCAACCAGCAGAGTTTGACCAGAAGGCGATGGCTACTTTCCGACCGCAGCTCGACGAACTGTCAAGGAAGATGCAGCGACAAATCGATGATGTCACAGGAAAGGTTGCCACTCTCAGCATCGAGCTGGACTCACACACAGAGCAGCTGCGCCAATTACGAGCAGAGATTGCCGAGCTACGTGAAGGACTTCATGTGGCCAAGCGCCAGGAAGCGGCCCCCTCGCCGCCCGCCAACTTCGACCGCCAGACAGACCCTGCCGTGGTGGTCGCGATGTGTACCAAAATGGTTGGTTTGTCACAGGTACGCGATGTGCTGGCGCCGTTCCTTTCTGAGCTCGGATTCGAAGCAGACCAATGCACCCTTTCGTGTCCGTCCCCGACTCCTGCCCGCAGGTTTCTCATCAAGTTCAACGGGGCCACAGGCCTCGCCTCTAAGAAGGTCTCGAAGGTGCTCAGCAACCTTCGCCGCAACGATCAGTGGAGGGTGTTCAACGTCGAGGCCTCGGGCGCCGCCGCCGACGGGCGCCTCCACTTGGGGCCCGACAAATCCCCACGCCAGGTCAAGACGGAAATGGCTCTTCGTCGGATCCGTGGTGCGTGTTCTGACAAGTTTGGCGGACGGTGGTCTGTTGACCGTGAGCGAGGCATCCTCGAGAGCGGATGGACCAGCGTGCTCAAGATCCAGGCGAACCCTGAGGACGCTCCGTACACCGTGCAGTTCAACCATGAGGACATCTTGGACCTCAAGCTCACGCGTGCCGACATCCAAGCAGTGGTGGATGAAATTACAGCCCCTCCGCCTCCTACGACATGGTGTCTTTGACGGCTTCATGCAGCTCTTCCACACTCCGACCCGTGGGAATGAGAATGAATCGATGCGATTCATCACTTGGAATGCTCGAGCTCTGTTACAGTACCGAGGAGCGAAGAGTAGACTCAAGTCGTCATATTTGAAGAGGTTTCGCCGTCCTGGGCCCATCCTTGCACTTCAGGAAGTTCATCAAGATCGTCTGCAACTCGAAGACTATCTCTGTCGTCGTCATCGGGATGCCGTGGTCCACGCCTCGTTTTGCGCTGCCGATGTTGGGGGATCGTCTGCAGGAGGGGTCGCCACTATCTTACCGAAGCTCGCGTCTGAGCTCGATGTTACCAGCAATGCTTCGGCCGTCGTGCAAGGAAGGGTCCTTCGAGTCGACGTAGTCGGGCAGGGGTTTCAGCTGGTGCACTTCAATATCCACAATCATGGTCTCAATGCAATGCAGATTGACGAGATATGTGCGGAGATCGACGCTGCGCGGGCACGGGCAGCCGCTGACCCTCTTCACTTCTTGGTGATCGTGCAGGGCGACCTCAACTTCGGCCCTGATGAGGCGTTGCTCCTCCAACGGCCTGAACCAGCTCGTGCTACTGATCCTCGGAATCATCGTGCAATGGCAGCTCGGTGCTGAGGACATTAGAACTTTTTCTGGAGATTTCTTCGGAGACACCGACGCACTACACAAAGGACACCAACTCGGTCAGCTGCCTCGATCGGTTCTTCTGTTCGGTGCCAGGATGGATGATGTGCCAAATGTGTGCGGAGTCCCCCACCATCGGAGAGCCCGAAGAATTATCTCGTTCTTTGATATCGGACCACGCTGCTCTGCTCACGGTGCTTCGTCAACGTCACGCGCGCCCCAGATCTGAGCAGCCAGTTCCTCGCCATATCTTCGCGAGCCCTCTTTTTCGGCAGCGTATTGAGGGCATGTTCAAAGACGGCGCCGGCGCTGAGACGGCGTGCTCGGCGGCAGTCTACCAGGAACACTTCAAGGATATGTTGAAAGAGGCTGCCCGTGAAGTTCGTGACTGGATGTTTGTCCACCATCCTGCTGGCGACGAAACAGCGTTGCTCGTTGCCCGAGGATGTGCGCGAGCAGTATGGCGTCAAGATCTTCCTCTCGCCCGTCGGCTGGTGGCGACCTCGGCTACCGCAGCTGGCATGCTCGACATCGGAGGTTCACAAGTCGTCCTTCGGCATCCTGAATCGTTCCACACGTGGACGGATGGGGTTCATATGAGGCTCCTGGAAAAAGAGATTTGTGCTGCCGCTGACGCTGCTGCAAGCTCTCGTTCGACCCGTCCGCCTTCTTCGTTTCGTCGTCGCCAGTTGTTGGAGCGCCAAGCTGCGATCTGGGCCCCGTTCTCACGGAGGTTGGTTCTGCGTGCTGTTCGAGACGGCAATCGGCTTGCTGCTTCTCCTGAGGAAAGGGTTGCTGCCCTCACGGAGTATTGGCGTCCTGTCTTCTCGCGCTCGGAAGTCGATCTCGAAGCCGCTCAGACTTATATCGAACAGCAGCGTCCCTCACCTGTGCTCCCAGACGCCCCACCACCTTCGAAAGCGACGCTTCGAAATATTGTTTCTCGTGCTCGCCACTCTGCCCCTGGGATCGACGGACTGCCGTACGCCGCATGGGCTGCTGCCGATTGCTGCCTGGAAGTATTATGTTTCACGATGGACTGGATCTTGCGGGGCCAGTCTCTCTTCGACTCGGCCAGCGTTACTCTGCAAGCGTACCTGCCTAAGGGATCGGAACACGAAGACCTGGCCTCTGGGGGCTGCATTCGCACTGCAGATAAGATCAGGGTCCTTGGGCTGCGCAACGCCGACTTGAAAATATTGACGTCTGCCGTGAACCGATCACTTAATGGTGTCGTCGACTCCCTCGCCCCCCAGTCGCAGCGCGGCTTCGTTCAGGGCCGAAACTTTGGGTACAACATCCTGGAGCTAGACGGCTTCAGTCGTATCGCTGGGGCCCACCCGCTGGCCCCGTCTAGGATGCCGCTGCTGGTCTCGTTCGATTTCGGCCAGGCCTTCCCGAGCCTCTCCCAGGAGTTCATGATGCTTTGCCTCGCTCACCTTCGCCTGCCACTCCCAGTGATGCATTTTCTAACCTGGTTGTACTCTGCGATAGAAGGGGTCGTGGCCGACGGTGGCCTGCTCCACTCGGTGTATTGGCTGAGGTCGGGGATCATACAGGGCTGCGGCCTGTCTGGGACCTTGCACGCGTTGTGCACGGCCCCGTTCCTGATCGACTTGGAATGCTCTCTGGAGGATTCTGGACTTGGCCTGGCTAGGGCCTGCGCGGACGATATTGGGGCTGTCTTGTTCGAGGCTCGCGGGCTCCAAGTGCTACACCGTGTGATGACTACTACGAGGCTCTTTACCGGGCTTTGCCTCAAGGTCAGCAAGTGCAAGGTCACCCCGCTGCACGAGACGTTTGGCCCTGATCTTCAGGAAAGAACACGGGCTCTCCTCGGTCGGCTTGTTCCCGAATGGCAGGCTTTCGAGGTCGCGGCCCACCTGTTGTACCTTGGCGTTCTCTTGGGACCCGACGCCACGATCCAGATGCAATGGGACGCGGCTCGGATGAAACTAAAGTTACGGGCCAGGCTCCTTGGTTATGGCTCCGCTCCCTTGGGGGTCAACGGCGTGCTCTACCGATCAAGAGCCCTCCCTGTCTTGTCCTACCTGGCTCAGTTCTTCCCCCTGCCTCCCAGGATGGTCGCTGTCGAGCTCTCTGTGCTGACTCAGGTACTCCGTGCTCCCATGGGTACTCTGTCTGCCTCTGGTTGGGCCCAGCTCTCTGCGTGGGGTGGCCCCAAGATCCTACTCATGCAACATACATGTGCCGCTGCGTTGACCCGAGCTGCCACCATCACGTTCAGCGAACATACCCACATACGCTCTAACATTACTAACACTACCCTTTCTTGGAATGATGATCTGCTGCAGGGAAGATTCGATGATGCTTCCCTCGCGACCAGTCGCACTCGGGTGGATTGGATGTGTGACGCTGGACGGCACTGGCGGCTACCGCCCATCCTGCAGACCTATTCCTGGCTGCAGCAAGGCTCTGCGTGTGCTGGCTACCCTTCGGACATCCTACGCTGCTGTGCGTCTGCTATTGCTTCGGAACTGTTGGTCACGGGACGTGCACTCAAATTTCAGAGAGCAGCCACCACAGCACTATACGAGCAGTTCGTCACACCGTTCCCGTTGTACGTGATCTTCGAGACCAGGCTGGCACGCTACTTTACTATGTATGAACCCTTCTTACATCGGGTGCCGTGGGAGGCGATTCAGATGCTGATGCAGCTGCTGCCCACGAGCTGGGTCTTCCCTGTTATTAAGACATGGGCCTCTG